TGTTGCGTCTTTACTTAAAGGAAAATATGTTCGAAATCGAGGCTCCACAACTCCCGCATCTACACCATTAGGTGTCTTGGAACCAACGGTATACCATTTTTGTGATTCGTCGTGCAGCCATCTTGAATTGCTGCTCGAATCTTAACGAGTAGGAAATGCTAAGCTGAGGACGGGACCGATTTGGTCCGAACCAGGTTTTCAGCCAAGATGATCTCCCTCCCATTTAAGATTTCAAGGTGACCTGCAAGGTTGCCTTGTTTGAATTTGCTTGCTGGATGATGATGCTCTAGTGAAAAGATCTTTCGACTCGATATGGAAAGACTAAGCGCAAAAGCAGCCATACACATTTGGTAGAAGAAACTGGCGAAGCTTTGCAAAGAAAAAGGCGATTAGCAAATTTTGTTTGTTTCGGCTCCGCATGACAAATGGCTGTAGTGCCAAATTAGAGGAAGACGTTTCTTTTACAGTGAAATCTCTTCTCGGTAGATGTAATTTGGGTTCCTGGTTATCGAAACGTCACAACGTCGATGGAAATCTGGTCACCAGTCAGAGGGAGTTCGAGCCGTAACTAAATCGGTACAAAGGAGCAGTTATCTTTCTTGGCCCGGATGCGACTTCAAGACAACATCCCTGTCACCGTCCTAACTGGGCACTGGCCTATTGAATTCGATTACAAAAGACTACTTCTGCCAATTGCAGAAAATGTAGAGATGAAGCTGAACACGAAACCACTGAGCATATTTAATGGAAATGCCTAGCTTTGATGAAGAAGAGGAGAAGACGTTTAGTAAAGCAATCTACTGCAAGATCTTCCGAACACCGCCTTGATAATTTTGTCAATCCTTTTGGTCGACCTTAAAAACATACACATAACCAATGTTAATAGGGTCCATAGTTGCTATTTGGGCGTTAAATTCTCTCCCGATATTAGAACCCAAAGTGTATTCCGTAGCATTTAACAAAAAGTTTTGAAAGAATATCAGTTGAAAATCTTTAGCAAAATTCGCAAACTGCGCAAAATAGATATAAACCAAATATATAAACCTTCAGCACAGTGTTGTCCAGTTGAGACGGTCTATTTTATATTATTTATTGTGTATGTGTAGTGGGCAAATATACCTTTAGTGATTTGATGTACTTTATGAAACTACACAGGCCTAGTACTTCTCTACTTACCGGGTATTTCCTTGCCACCGCATGAACAATCTGGTAGCAGACAAACATCCTTGCGACACTTGGCTGCTGTCTTGTCGGGCGTTGGTTGTGGGTAAAGCGGTTCCGGCCGTGTTGGTGGATTTCTATAGATATCGACAAACTCTTGTGCTTTCGATACGATCGTGCCCGAAGGCTTCAAAGTGGGGCGTGTGCGTCTGTGTGATGTGAAGTGAATGTTTGTTGTTATTGGAGTAACTCATTGTGATTATCGATAGAATGCTGTTACTTACGGTGGATGTGTGCCACGATTGCTGGTCACTGCTGTGGGTACATCACGATCCTGGCCGGTATAGCTGGAGCTACCACGATTACGATTGTTATTCGAATTTGTTCTATGCAAAAATTTAATTGAATAGTGTATTGTTAGCGAAATCTGTAGTTAATGACAGTTGTTTAGGGATTCTGATAGCACAGTACATACATACATATATGTACGTAAGTAAATGTATATAGGTTTTCTTTTATATAGATTTGTGTTTTTTATCTTAAGAGAAATGAGATAAGTTAGCTACTTTGTTGCTAGGTTACAGTTAACTTTGTTGCTAGGTTACAGTTAACAGTGTTCTATAATAAAATTAACACAGCTACACTGACAGAAAATCTTAGCACTAAACTCACAACACTCTAGCTGTTATTTACCTGTAATTAAATATATATCTAAATACATATCCATGCATATATTTACTTATGTATAGAGAGATATGTTTTAGTTGTTAGTAAAAGCGCAAACCAATCGAAAAGATGGGAATGGGTGTTAGTAAGCGGCTTTTTGTGTTAATCTAAACAAAAAAATATATATATGATACATTTACAGCTGCTTTACGTATATGAGTATTAATGACAAAATATTATTGTAAATAAATTTTTCTATTCATAGTTTAGTTAGCCTTAAAAAGTGCATGCAAAACCATATACACATTTATTTTTTTTACAAAATTTACAAGCTGAAAATGGCGTAAGAATGCTTGAAAAGAAATGCTTCGATAGAAAATTTGATGAGAACCGAAAAGATGAGTTGTTGTTGTTTTTGTTTTCTTCTTAAAGTGTTGCTGCAAAGAAAGTGAACATTTAGTAAATTCATTTCGTTAGTGTTTTTGTAGTCGTGCATGAGTTGCTGGCGTTGTGGGATAGGAAGGGATTAGAGTAGAGTGGATGAATGGTTAAGGAAAATATTTTTTTCTCAGAGAAAAAAGTTAAGTGAGAGTATCGAGCAATAATTTTGGAGTTTCAGATTTTCAGCGCTTGCCAAGTCGAAGACAAAGATAAATATTTTGGGCATAGATTTCTTAATGTGAGTAGAGTAATCAACGTGATAGATCTTTCATCACCTTAGCTAAACTTTTCGCGATTTTTATTTGCTGTGAAAAATTTAGGCAGAAAAAGATAAGAAAAGTGGAAAATTTGGACAATGATTTACAATCTCAATGGAGGCTTAACGCTTGGCCAGAAGTGAAAAAGATAAGTTTGATTAGAGTAAAACGTGTAGAAATATAAAATTACTAACGAAGAGATTTTCTCTGCAAATAGTTTTAAGTGTACGCTGAATTATTATCTTCAATAAGGAATTAAGTTTATTACATTTGCCTACTACAACACACAAATTTATATCTACTCCACTACCTCAATTACACAAACTTTATCTAGTATATCGACGATCAGGAAGAAAGCTTTTACTCTTTGCGCGAACATCTTTAGAAAGCTTTATAAAGTTTATCCCGCGGGATATGCTTCGATCGTGACTGATCTAGAAACTATTAGGGAGTGCGAATTCCATAAAAGTATTAAATGCAATTTCGCGAAATGATTTAAATAAGTTTTCTTAATATTTTTTTATGGGCTGTGATTCATTAACTAGATCGATTTCTTTACTAACTGTCAACTTTAAAGCAGCGATGGGTAGAGAGAGCTTTCACTATGCAAGCGTCTATTTAAAATGTATAGAAAGCTTAAAACAGCTTTGCTCGCGGGCAATTCGGTGCCCATCACCGCTTTAAAGTATATAGTTTAAACTTAGAGCTTTTACTTTACAAAAAAAATGTAAACAAAGCTTAAAAAAGCTTATTTCGCAAACTATGTTTTGGTCGACGGATATCAAGTCTATAGAAAGCTCAAAAAAGCTCTTCGCGTAAGTTACATTTCGGACGTGACTAGCTTAATAGCGGAATCAAAGAACTGCGGAGAGTTGTCGAAGTTCTGTGGATTAAAGTCAGAACTAAAAAGCTGTGAATTCGAAACTAGCAATGTATGTACTGAATTCTCGGGTAGAAATTAAAGTTCATACAGAGTATTTTTGTACTTATGTATAAAGTATGTTCCTTTTTTTAAAGCGATTTCGGAAGTCAGTTGGCAACCAAAATGAAGTGGAGGAGCTAAGCATTTTTGAGCTTTCAGGCATTAAGTTGCCCTAATAGCTTCCTTGGTACTCAGCTCAGGGTTCTGAATTAATTCTGAATTTATTTTCAAACCTGCTTTTAAGATTCTTTAACTCAGTGACGAGTGGGATTTCATATCTTGCGCTATGAGCATCTTTTAAGAAATTTCTTTTCCCCGGGCTATGTATGCTTTGGTCGTGAGCGCAAATTTATATTAAATATACTGAAAGTTTGAAATACCTTACTTCAAATTGTAAGATTTTTAGGAAGTTTGAAAAAGCTCTGCCTACAATGCTCCCGCTAATACTGGTTTAGCTCAAAGCCTAACATGGATGCAGAGTTTTTTTGAGTAGTTTCTGCAGATTGGTTGTATAGAACATATCCTGCGGGAAAAGCCTTTTAAAGTTTTTTTTTTGTTTTTCTATGAACACACTACTAATAAAAGCTCTCTCTCGTCGTTGCTGTTTTCGTATATGAATTTAAGCACTCGTTTAAATATATGTATGGTTTGATTTTAATTTCATCCAGCTTCCAGTGTAGATTATATACTCTTACTTAGAAGCTGAAGTTGGCTCATGTGTCGACGTGCTTTAAACTCTCCCAAGATGAGAGCATCGGGAATTCTGTTTGGTTGTTTTTCACTTTCATTTTCTTTGTTTTTACACAGTACTTGCTTTGAGTCATTCGAAAAAATCCGTTTCTTTTTTTGAGTTTGGTAATGGGAAAGAAAAATTATTTTAGCTAACCAACTCTGCGACAAAAATGTAAGGAAAGCTTCCGGAGAGAATTAAAAAGAGATTCGTTTGGCTTCAAGCTTTGAACTGAAATAAATATGACATAATTTTTTTACGGGTAAGCTAGGCAAAGAAATAAGAACTCTCTTTGAAAGCTTTGAGAAACTAGTTAAAAAAGTGTATTTTCGGATATAAGGTTATTGCACCATAGAACTTGAAAGCTTCGATGCTTAGTTTTTCTAGTAGCTCTGGATAGAAAATGAAAGTTTTATTAGCAGACTTTCAGTGGCTATTAATAAAATAGTGCTTTGCAAGATAGGATTAGTCCTGAATTAGGTTTGAAAATCTCAAAGTTTAATTTTTCAACGTATAGCTTAGTAAAGGAAACGAAAGCTCTCTTGGAAATCTTTGGGAGACTATTAATAAAAGTGCGATCTCTTATAACTCAGAGACAAATAAAACGTAGCTCGTGACGAAATTTTTTAATGTTTTTATATGTTTTACAACAGCCAATACCAAAACATATCTCGTGCGAGAAGCTTTTTGAAGCTTATGTGCATTTGGGTCGACACTGTTTTACGTATATGGTTATCATTAATTTAACCGCATGGAAATCTAACTCAAGCCCTATATTAGAGGTTCGTCTTGAGCTTAGTTGAAAAATTAGGTCTTAATGTAAATAAAATTATGGCAGAAATGATAATCTGTACTGAATATTTTAAAATCAACTTTCCTTTTCAAATGCTTCATACCTTTGATTTCCCCAAATTTAATCACCTTAACTATATTTCACCATTAATGTCAATTAAAAATATCAAATTTCCACAAGTCTCTAAGGACTTTTATTTATCCTCAAATTAAACGCTCAGAGAGCTTTCTAGCTTAAAAAAGCTCACATTTAATTAGGTCTAGTTCAACATCGGTTTTTGCTTATAGTTTATCGTTTGAGTATTTTCGAAATAGAAGTGGAGCTGGAAAAAGTGGTAAAATGGGTTCGATTAGGTGGTAAAGTAGTGCAAAAAAGCTAACTAGTAGGTGCAAATTGGTTAAATAAACAAAAACCTTTTCGGTTCTCAATTGATACTAAAAATGTCTATTAAATACGTTTAAAGAAAAAGAGAATTTGTATTGGCACAGTGCTCCGGCTACGAAAAAATTTAGTAGTCGATTTCAAAGCAAGAGTTTTGTACTTTTAAATTTCATTAAGAAATTAGGTACTATTGTAAAATAAAAACAACTAACCACCACCTTTTCGATAAAATTATAAAAGAAAAAAATCTAAAAATTCTAAAGTGACTAGTGCTAAGACAAAATATATTTTTTGAATTTTTCTTAATTATTCAGCGTACACCAAAACGAAAGATATTTGAATATTAAATTTTCTTCTTGAAATAAAAACATTTGCTTTGCGCAACTAAATATCAATTTTTTCAAGGGATAGTGAACAACTAGCAACTACATACAGTACAGTAGACTATGGATATTAGAGTTTGCTTTAAAGCTTGCATAGTTTTTTAGTTTCATTAAACGTAACAGCTGGCAACCCTGTTGATTGCAGCGCAACTGGGCATTGTTTACTGCGTTTTCACGCGCAAACTAAATATTTTTTTTTTGAAATTTGGCATACGAGTAGTTACTGTATTTTCCGTTAAGTACTTATTTAAAGTGAGATAGTCATAGAGATACGAGTGAGTTTCTTCTTAACGAGATAAAATTTGTAGTTGTTTTGATTGTTGCTGTTGTTGGTTAAGTACCTCGAGGGAATTTCGTTGCACTTGGCATTCGATGTGGTGTCGGAACATTTGATTGCTGCACCGGTATTCGTAACGTAAGCATTGCCCTTAATACTGTTACCTCTGGCCGCGTTGGCGGTGCCCACAGCTGCGGACGCCTGCTGGGAAGCAGAGTTGGAGACGGTGGTTGTGGTGGAGGAAGCGGTAGGCGAAGAAGAAGCGGAGTAAGCGGCAGCGGCAATCGACGACTTGATGGCATTATTAACTCTTGAAGCACGCATTGGCGTTAACAAGGATTTGGCAGTGCTCGCTGGCGCTGTGTTGCTGGTGGTTGAGTGGTTGATGGAGGAGGAGGAGGAGTTGGATGTGAAGGCAGGTGCTGGCACTTTCGTTTGTGTATATGTATTTGTGTTGGTTTGTATGGGGGAACGGTTGTTCGCAAGTGTGACGGTATTTGTGGTTGTGGTAGTGGAAGTGGTTGGTGTTGACTGAGGGGCGCTTGCTACGCGGTAAGCAGTAGTTGGCGGCGCGGCAGTAGTAGTCGGACGCAATGTAGTTGTTGTGGTTGTGGTAGCTGGTCTATGAGTGGTCGTTGTCGTTGTTGTTGTGCTTGCGTATGTTGTTGCTGTGGCTTTGGCTCTGGGTGTGGTGTAGAGATTTTTGATCTCTTTCACTGCAGCATTGATTTCACGCTCTGACAAATCATCTACGAATTGTTGTGCGCTGCTCTCATCACTATCGCCTGCGAGGTAGAGTTGCAGTTGTTCCAGCACTGAAGCTGGTTCGAACTTGGTGCGCCCAGTGCTGGAGGTAATATAACCAGCATTCTGCAAACTCTCAGCCAAGGTGCGATCTTTAGTTTGCTGCCGATATTTGTTCGAGAACAGGAACTTCAGTGGCCGATCGGTCTTTTGTTCTGTGGACGAAGATGAGCTGGCGCTACCCGCCGATTCAATGCTGTTGTCTTGCTTCGCATCAATGGGCAGCCGCACCAAGGCTTCGGCGCGTGGACCACCCTCCACAGTCGATTCGTTTTCAATCGGTTTTCGATTCACCGACTTCTGTGCCGTTTGCCCGTACGCCGTAATAGTAGCCTGTTTCTGTTGCTGCTCGGCCTTGTAGGTTTCATATTTTTCGCGAGACTTCAGTGGTGCATTCGCGCTCAGTCCATTACGTTGACCCTGTATGGCCACGATGCGTGCGCGGTGCAGCGTTCGCCTTTTTGGATAGCTATCGTTGGGCGAAGACGTGGCAGCTTCATAACCGGCTGCGCTGGCACCTGGGTAGCGTACTCTTGGCGCATAGGTTGTTGGTTCTTCGAATGCATTTACTGTCGCCGCAGAGTAACGTGAGCGTCCGCGTGGACGTGGTGTCTCCGAACTTTTTCCGCCGCCATAATCACTTCCCAGGGCTTGTGCTCTCAGTGTGTTTTGGCTTGAAACTGCTTGTGCGATGCGTATAGGCGCGGTAACAATGACTGTGGACATCGTCGTCGGTGTGGTACTCTCAGTTGTAGCCTCGGTGGTGGGCGCTTTGGTGGTCGTAGTCGTCGACGTGGTGCTAGCCAAAGATTGCGGCAGCGCAGCAGATCTGGATGGCGTATTTGAAAAGGTGCTAAGTATGGTATCGCTCACGCTGAAATTCCGTATGCCTGTCGAAGCTGTGGCAAAAATCGAGTCACTAAGATTCCTTGGAGGAGTTGTGATGAGGAAGTAGCTGCGTAGCGGCTTGCTGGTGCTTAGTGTAAATGTGGAAGGTGTTGTTGGGTTCATATAACGTGGCTTAACGGTGCTGCGGAGTGAGTTTGCGCCCGTGTAACGATCATCTTTCTCTTGCAGTATAGTCTCAAGGCTTTTATATGGCGAGACAAAGCGCTGCGCAGGAATGCCGGTGGTTTTGATTAGGTTATCTTTGAAGCTGAGCGCGCGCGGTGTGTAACTCTGTACAGCGCGTTCTGTGGTGGGAAATACAAATGCGGGCGTTGGCGCAGGCGTCGTCGTTGTGGTTGTTGTCGTAGTTGTAGTTGTGGTTGTGGTGCTGGTCGTAGTGCTGCTAGTAGTACGTGGCGTTCTAGTTGTCGACGTTGTGGTGCTGCTGCTCGTGATTGGACGCACAGTGCTGGTTTCCTTCAATGCCGTCACCACGCTTTGCTCGCTGCCCGAACTAGAGACATGGTCATCCTCAATATTCGTCTCCAAAACGATGTGCTGCAATGGCCGTGCGCTAGTGCGGCCCAAACGCCAGGCATTTCGCAAAGGCGGTGCGTATGTGGTTGGCACAATTTCATCCTCGTACGAAGCCTCGGGCAAGAGGTCTCGCTGTGTTGGCTTGTTTGTAGTTGTGCTGGTAGTGCTCGAGGATGCGCTTGGCGTCACCATCGCACGGTTTGTCGTCGAAAGCTGTTGCGGCGTCACATTTGGTCTACGCTCATAGATGGGTTTCCCCACCTCCTCTACGCCTTGCGCGCGCAAACTAAAACCATTTGCACCTGTGTGTAGATTATATTTAAAGGGTTTCGGCTCGTATACTATGTTTGTGGGGTAACGAAGTGTAGTGCTGGATGCGGAGCTTTCACCGCTTATAAGCTCTAAAACAGTCTCAGGCTCTGGGGATGGCAACGCTACTTCTTTAACGGTCGGCACGGGTTTGAAACTCTGCGGCGCGACATCGGAGACAATATAGCTTTGCAAACGGCTCTTCTGTGGTGATTTCACGTCAGTTATTTTACCATAATACTCATTCGATTGCTTGCTGCTGCGATAGGCATTCTCGTGTGACCCATACTTTTCATGTGAAACAGCTTTATCACTAATTGCGCGTACCGAATTGCCATGCGAACCGTCAGCATACGTCTCCACTTTGTCAATGACAGCCAAAAATTTTCCCCTACCGTTAAGCGCAGTGCTTGACTCAAACGGACGACCAGCACTTCTAAAGGGTTCAGCTGTCTGTACGTGTACGTTTTGACTGGCGTCTGAGATAGTTTCAATGTCGTCCACCGTTCGAAAACCTAACAAGGATGACTGGGACTGCGGTGTATTGGGTGTGTTAGAGGGATTTCTGTTTTGTTGTTGTATATTTGGGTTGTGTGCGGCGAGACTGTGCGGCTTGGAGACTACCGTGACAAACGTCTCGTCCGAGTTAGAATATTGTGCACTGGGAAACGGTTGGGGTTTTTCTGTGGATGTTGTCGTTGTAGTGGATGTTGGTATGCTTGTCGTTCTTTGCGTGGGAGTTGGGGAAGATGTAGGTGGAGTTGGAGATGGAGGTGGTGTTTTGATTGCGGAAGGTGGTTGTTGTGGTGGATTTGATTGCGTACGTTGGTTCTTTTGGTATTTATTTGCATGCGTTTTAGATCTGTAGGAGAAATCCACATTTTCGGTTAATGTTAGTGTTGTTGTTGCTTTAGATATGGTAATTGGAAGAGAGAAAGAGAGAGAGAGAGGTGCTGGTGGTAGTAGTGGTGGTGGTGGTGGCAGTTGTGGTTGTTTATACGTCAGTGGTAGTTTGTTGTTGGACATTCAACGATTTTAAGAAAAAGATACTTTTTAGATGCGCGAGTTTAGGTTAAATGGTATGCTATTACCAAGTTTATAGACAGTAAAATTATTAAAATGTATACGGTATGTAGTTTAAATCACTGCTGGAGGGAATGTCTTTAAAATCTTAATCACCAATCAAGTTAATCCATGATTATGGTGATGGATTAATGAATTATTTACCTAGTGCGTAATGATTTGCGTGAGTCAATGGAATAAGGTATATCCAAATTTTTTTTTTCGAAAATGAGGTAATGCTGAGAAAATTAGAGGCACCTATGTACTTCGCCGAATATTTTTGTAGTCAAAATAAAAAACAATAAAAATTAAATTTGGAAACGCATTGCTCGAAAACAAAAATATTAGTACTCCTGCAAAATAAGCTTTCAAAAAACCAGCAGGCATCTCATGCAATATTTTTCACTTCATTTCCATAGAGCCTATATTGGTTCTGGTACTCCTTCGTTTGCATGCATTTAATGGTTGTGTTCACATTAAGTCAAAAAGTAAAACATGCAAAACATTGGCGAAAGCTTTAAATGTGCTATGTTGAGGAAAAAAGTTATCGTCCAACTTAATTGAATGTTGGACTATTCCGGAACAAGCCTATTTCTTAAGCTGATCCCTGAGTTAAAGAGCAAAGTGCTACTGCGCCTGGGCTTTTCTAAAAAGCTATTTCAAGATCTTTTCCATTCGGTAAAATGGTTTTTCAAACTAAGTTTTGATAGACTTTTTACTATGGGAATATGTATCTTCTTCTACGGCTCGAAATACATTATTCGCAAAAAGCTCTCATCTATATACAACTATAAAATGATAGCCGCTTTCGTTGTTTGGACTTAACTAAAAAAAAAAACTGGATTGATTTCAGATGTTTTGTCTTGTATATATGGTCCTATTATAGGCTACCACAAAATTCGCTAGTATAAACCGAAAATTAAATTTTTAACGAGATTTATTCCAGCTCGGATCCTGAACGGTATATGACCCTGCTGTATCCTCCAGCTGAACAACAAAGTACGAAATTCATTACGATCTAGCAACGTTCGAATGGTGAAGTTTTATAAATGGGAAAACCCTATACAAGGAATACGCGCTGCAGGCTTTTGAGGAAGAGTACGGCCTGAGATGAGCCCTGATTCCACTGGAGCCTGGCTAGGGCTTAAATAAATTGCTTTTGTCTGCTTCTGAGCTAAAAATTTCTTGCCGATGTTGTTTGTTTGGCATTCATTTTCTGACTGGTAATCGTCTCAGTTGCTTGGTAGCGAAGAAAAAAAATAGGATACAGCCGCAAAGATCTCATGTCATTGAATAAGTGAGTAGCTCAGCGTTCTTTTACCAATAAAATAAAATCGTATTTTTTTCTCGAGTGCATTCAGACACTAAATTGCCTCCTCTGGTTTTCGGGCTATAAAGGCATAAAAGGAAACGAAAAGGACGACATGTTCGCCAGGAAGGCTGCTTAACAACACAAACAGCGCCCGAGCTATGCTTTTTAAAAGGACCATGCACCATCAGAGAGGAGCTTAGAACGAGATAGAGAATAACTCTGGGATCAATGGCAGGGCCATGCAAAGAAATATTTAAATTTCCTTTGAACGATAGGAATTATGACTGCTTCACTGATTGCCATTTCCTCAGATTGAACTACAGCCGCTCGCGTCAGTAAGCTTCATTCCCGTGAAGTACCCAGTGAGAGTTCGCAGGTTCCCTCTGCCTAGATTCATGAGCTTTTTTGACGTCTCTTGTGATGAACATCTGTCCGTTTAGCTTGGTTTTGCCATAGACTCCAGAATCTGTGGAATTTTTTGTCTACCCACTTGTTTTTGACCTGCCTTGTGTATGCTTTGGTGAGCCCACAAAGGGAATATTGGGAATATTCTGCTGCAAGGTTCTACATTGTATGCATACACCATTGCGCCTAACTTTTTAATTTCTTTTTTTATTATATATTTTCTAACAATTTACTGTTACAGCAATCTAGATGCTTGACCTTTGTACCCCAGAAAGCGGCCTCCTCTTGTAAAACAAACTATGCAGATTGACTCGTGGCTCATCATCACCGACCAGCCGAATTTGCTAAAGTTGTTTGAGTCTCTAAAGTTCAACCAGGAGAGGCATTGGCTTTCCTAATAAAGGCATACAACTCCCCTATGTAATGGCACGTAGTCTCCTCAACTTCTCAATACATTTCACATGCAGCTTGTCTCTTACACTAGAGTTTTTGAGATACTCTTTTTATTTCAGACGGTCGGTAGTTGCGGACACTATGCCAGTAGTACTATTGATCCAGCTCCAGAGATACCAGCGAATTAGTGTCCCGTCCATTTACATCAGGAAAGTAACGATTCTTTTTTGTGAACCTAAAGCGCTCAAATGGCCGACTGTCTAGCATTATATGTATGTAGGTCTAATTATTTCGTTTGCAAAACCTTCAATTTGCCAGCAGGTTACTTCTGGGCTCACCGTCAAAGCTTATTTAATGAGAAACGACTGTAGTTAAGGAAAATTACTGAACATTAAAGATATACTAGTCTTTGAAAGAGAAAGACTTACATCGTATTCATCTAAAATAGAAAGACCAAGTTCAATAGATCACATTATAAGTCTTATACGTTCACAAGAGGATGGCTCACTCAGCGGTGCATATTTACACAGTTGGGTCGAAAATTAACAAGCGTTTTACATGGAGGTTGAGCTTAGAAAGTTTTGAAGGCTATCACGAAGAAGTTTTACCCATAAAAATGGCGGCGGCACTATTGATCATTGACTGAACAAATAAACGGGTGAATCTTCATATTCACAGTCAGGCTGCGATGAAAGCACTATTACCTTCACTTCACCTCCTCAAGAAGTATGGCAGAGGGCAGAATAGCGATGGCTGTGTCATACTAATACGTTACATAACAAGGGGGTTAAGAAACTCGCAAAAGGAGGAGCTCTTTCGGAAACTGTGCTAATAGAAGATGTGTCGATTTGTCTACAAGTGATTAAATGGGAGCATGACCAGTACACATGGCTGAAGACTGTTATGCACTCAGCATACGATACGAGCATAGCATAAATTTCCTTTACCTTTTAAGAGGGAGTACTGTAGGCTACTATTCATTGAAGATGCTGCTTTTTGTCTTCTGAGATCTTTAAGTCGGATTTGAGCGATGAATAAATTTGCTAGAGGTACGGAAAGTGTAAGGATACTTTGAATAACATTTTCTGTAAGGGTTAAGCTCTCAGCAGGCTACAGATTAATCTCCTAGGAGTAGACTTCCTTTCGAACTAGTTGTTCCAGTTTGCCAAGCGAACGTGGCGGTAATTAAAAAAATTACAAACTCTTCGTTAAGCTCCTTTTCGAAAAGAGAACTATTATGGCGGAACTGAGGAATGGTTCCAAGGGGGCGTTCTCCCACCCCTACTATGGAAGGTCACTGGTTGTCAAGTCATAGCGTATGCTGATGATATTAGCAGTCGTAACAACGGGTAAGCATCTGCAAGTTCTGCGTGAGTCACTACAAAATGTCTGGTCTCAGGAATGTGGACTTAGCGTCAATGCTATCCAAACCGAGATGGCACTCTTCACGAGGATATATAAAATTCCCCTACTCAAATGGGTTAGAACTTACTCTCTCAACCATGGGGTTATTCTAGACATGAAACTCGACTGGAAGCGAAACATCAAAGACCGTTCTAGGAAACCCAATACTGCCGTTTGAATCTGTCAGATGGCTACAGGTAAAATATGAGAAGTAAAACCACATATATTTAGTGCAATGAAGGCAAATATGACCCAAGCTCTTATACGTCGTCACCACCTGTTAGATGCCGATAAATAAGACTCTGTCCAGAGCCAAGCTGGAACGGCTTCAGCAGACGGCTGCCCACAAAATATCTAAAATTTATTTTTATATTTTCCACCGGTGGCCTCCCTAGGAGGCTCCGCGTAAGTGGAACTACGGGGTTGACAACCACGCGGTACCCACACTGCCACTTGGTACTGAAGTGTTAACATTTCAGGGCGCTGATAAAGGCATTTGAATGGATCCGTCTTGCTTTAGAGCACCGGGGAGCTAGGTCGGTCTCGGCAGGTACCCACGGAAAATATTAACATACGTTGTTTTTACCGGTGGATCTATGTATGTTTATGGCAAATTTCTTAACTGTTGTAGTGTTATCAAGTTACATGTGATCCAATCGTGCAGAGATTTCATATTCGGAGCAAATAGGAAACTCTGCAGAATAGCCTGCGAAAACTAGATTTTAATAATCTTCTACGCTGTTTGGACAAAAAAAAAATTTCCTAAGAATCCCAAGGAGGAACAAATGGGAAGGTACCGTAGACAGAGACTCAGGGACGAAAGAGTAGGCAGCGAGATTAACTACAGTAAACTCACAGTAAACCTCAGTCTTCGCTTATCGGACCATAGTAGCAGACAGTCCCAACTAACCGCCATAAGCGAGGTAACTCAGTGGCTCATAGTTTATGCTCGTCCAGAACGGCCTTTCACTCACTACATCCATATTCTGACAACCAGATTGCTATTAAATCCCTAAAGTCCAACGGAACAACCTCCAAAGTAACCATCGAATGAAGGAATTTCAACATGCTAGTATCTAAATGATCCTTGGTTTTTGTATGGGAACACACCTGTCGGTCTACCAGACAAATCTGGACAAAAATCTATGAAAATTGATCTAAATCAGAGCTTCTTAAAGTGTGTTCCGCGGAACCCAAGGGTGCCGTAGAAAAGTCACCGGGGTTCCGCGAAATTAATTTTATGTATGAATAAGCACGACAGTCAGTTTGAGTAGTACACAGAAAGAAAAGTTCTATAAACAGCTTGACCGAGACGCAATTATCTATTTTGAAGTATACATAAGTACTCGTAGTTGGTATGTATGATTGCAGTACTACATAAGAGTGTGAGCTTGCGCGTGCCAGCTTGTTTATTTCTAACCGGTATGAGTTGTTCGCCGCTATAGCTAAAGAGTTATATACAACTTTCTACAAGGAACGCGATGAATTGCCAAAGTAAATGTGAAATGTCATAACTGAGCACTTGGTCAATCACCTGAAATGTTTGTCAGATTATTTTTCGGATGGTAGTAGTAATATCGGTTTGGTACAAAATCCATTTACGAAGCATTCATACATCTCCAGAGTACTTCGACATTGAAACACACATTTGAATCTGTGTCTCTGAAAGAGTTTTGGGTTAGTGTTAAGAGTAAATATCATGAAGTCGCTAAAAGGCTATCTTAACTTTGCTTCCTTCTGTCACAACGTACTCTGTGAGCAAGGTTTTCAGCTTACACTTATACAAAAAACAGATTCAGATCGGAATTAGATGCTACCCCAGAAATGCGCATACAGCTTTCATACGTTAGATCGAACTACTATTTTACACAATAATTACTAACAGTGAAACAATTTCATTCTTCACATTAAAATTTAAAGTATTTCTAGTAAAAGTTTTTATTTATATTTAAATTGTTCTGCCTTTGATTTTTAGTAATTTGATGTGGGGTTCCATAAAATGAAATGTGGTCAGTAAGGATTCCATCATCTTAAAAGTTTAAGAACCCCTGATCTAAATCACTGACTCGGCTTGACCACTTCTCCCTCACAATAGTAGCCGAGGTAATAACCGAGAACTTCGTTATAGGTACGCATGGAAAGAGATTGGGATATCCGACCAACGGTTTTTGTAATAGAGTCGAGGAAGAAGTGGGGGGCACCGAACTCTATTTTTGGCACTGTCCCATCCTGGTCAAGATGCGCAACAAATCCTTTAGATATTTTTTAGCCGAGTTCAGCTCAGCGAACATGCTCGACTTTGGTATTATGTACATATTTGTATCGTCCAGACCCGATTTTCGGATTACTAGTTTTACCTAGGCTAAACTAGTTCGACCTACATGCGATAGGATAAGCCAGAGTTCGACTGGTGAGGATAACCCGTTGAAGTTTGGCCGAAGACCGTGAATGCCGAAATAAGTTACTGCGGACTACGTAGCCGGAATTGGGCTGCCTTCTCCTATCGGGCTTAGGCTAGACCCGTTTGTAAAACTAGTTTGTCCGACAATCGGATTTTGCTGGTAGCATATATGTATGTAACTATGTTTAAAGCGCAATTGGAGGTTGAATTGCTAAGGGGAAGGACGGAAGTGCCTCTGCGCTCTTGAACGAAATCAGGCACTCTAACCTAACGTTGCCAAGACGCTGTAATGCTCTTCAATTCGGACGTAGTTATTCAATTTGGTTGTAGCTAGCCAGCCTTGCCTAAATTCAAAATTATTTATAGGTCTCAGCGCTTATAGTAAAAATGGTAAAAATATCCAAGTCATACTTTTGTCAATTATTTTTAGTCTCGATTTCTACTACTCTCACAAATAACATAATCTTTCACAGTTTACTCCACGCTCCCAGGCCTCTAACGCTTTTTTGGTGACGAAATTACCTTAATTAAGGTGACTCTCTAATTCGTATACCTACAAAATTGCGTATCGATATTTATATTCGGGTTTGTATACCGTGTACTTGAAGTATGTGTATGTGGCTCTCTCAATGCTTTGTGTTTCTGAAATTCTCAACTTGTTGATGTTTTTTACACTTGATTTGCGTGTTCCTGTATGATGTATTTGTACGTGTTTAGAATGAATACCTAAGGTTCCACATGAAATAGAAAGATCGGTAGTATGAAAATGCTTTTCAGAATGATATCCTAGCAACTAAGAATACGGGATGACTTAAAAATGATTGCACTAGAGCAAAATGTATGAATATGTAATTGCCAATTGGCGTAGAGTTTTTTGTCATTTTGCACTGCGTGTAAGTATGTTTGCATGTAAGTGTAAGTAGCTAAGTATTTATTTTGTGATCGCTTGATGAGTATTTGCTGATGATTGTGATTTTTGTCAACAATTCAATTATCCAATCAATAAACTATTTAAAAAACAAAAGCCAAATATGTATCACGCAATGATGATCAATAAACGCAGTTACATAATGAATCGACTTAAACGCTTTTTGTTTTCAAATGAACGCATTCCAGTAGAAAGTACGCGAAGCAATATGTAGATGATGAAGAATAGTTGTAAGTACTTAGAGTATATTCGGGCGCGATTAGCGTGTCAAAGACTATACCTTAACGACTTTGTTGTTGTTGTTGGTGCCGCCTGTGTAGTACGCACAATTTGGGTGGTGCTTCTTGCCGTCGTACGTGCCGATGTCCTTGGCGCTGCTGTAGTCGTCCTTGTCTTCACTGTTGTTGTGGGGTTGCCACGTTGTGAGATCGTACCACTTCGGGTTGGCGTTGTACCTCCCCGACTTGTAGGTGGTTCAACAAAATTTGTTGCAGTCGGTTTGTATATTTTGTTAAATTCATGCCCGTTTGGTGTTGAACCGATTACGCTATATTCGTCAACGTCTTGTGTCGGCACCAATTTGGGTGCATAGGTGGTGTAACGTGACGGCTGCTCATAGAGCGCACGATCGGTATTTAGACCGTACGTAGGCGGATCATCATACAACTCGGCGCTATTCTCGTAGGCGGTATCGTAAATGGGCGCATCATCAAGTGCAGGTGGTTCGGTAATAAAAATTTTACGCGCATCGCTAATCGGTTGACGGTGTGGGCGTGGCGTTGTTGGTACCGATCGCGGTGGTGGTGGTGGTGGTGGTGTTTCAATGGTAACAGGCTCACTGTTTTCGAGTGTTTTTTTGTTTTTTTTTGTTTTGGTTTTTTCGGTATGTGCATGTGTATTGGTTGTTTAATTCATTAGGGTAGAGTGGAAAATTTGGAACGGTATTGTAATGAAGTAGATACAGTAAACAATTTTGAATAGTTAAAATAATAAAACGCAAAAGTAATTTTGATGTTCACCAATAAATAAATGTGTAATTGTGCGTGTGAGAATGAGCGTGTGCAATTGCATGTTGTTGTTGTTGCTGTTGTTGATGATGTTAATGTGTGACATGTGAGACCTACAGTGTTGAAATTTCTAAAAAAAAAAAATACCCTAGGGGTACACTTTTAGTATGAATGCGAGCATTAGCTCTGCTTCGGACATGACCTGCGGGGGCCAGGTTGCAATTTATGGGCTGTTTTGTGAATTTGAATGCTTTTTTTTATGATGTAAAGTAGGTTTTATGAAAATCTTATATATTTCCTTAAATAATTCTGGGTATATTTACTGGCGCGCACACATACATAAATACTTGCTGTTAAAGACTTATGTTATGCTTATGTTTATGTTTATATGACTGTATATGACAGGCAGCTCTCAATTAGGTAAGTCGGTTAAATTTGTTAATCAAATGTTAAATGATTTGGTTATGGAAATAAAATATTTTAAATGCATTTTAAAGGTTATTTATTGTTGTTTATGTGAATGATTTGTGCAAGAAAGCAATGTAGTACTTACCTCAGTGGCGGACGTGTCGGCTGATCATACACATTATCCTGCTCGATCTGTCGGAGGAAGAAGAAGTAGTTATAAGATACGCCACATCAAAGGAAAAAAGAAATAAAAAAATATGCAATATAAATCGGGAACCGTAACGATTATTATTTTTATAATAAAAATCACAATTATACTGCCAAAATTGGATTAAAAGATTTCCGATGAAATTTAACTTTCAGTTTTGGATTTTTACTTTTTCGATCAAAGATTAATTCATACCATAAACATTTTCAAATATAATTTTTTAGATGTGAATGGGGTTAATAATATTTAAAACGATCCTAAATTGACCAAAAAAAATAGAATCTAAAATAGCGATTATTTTTGATCGGAATAAGTTAATAGTAAAAGAAATATTTTTAAAACAAGCTTTCGGGGTTTCCAAATATCTCGACTCTTGCGCCACCTTACGGAAAAATGATTACTGAAGTTATTCCTTTTAATGTAGGTAATATAGTATATATTATAAATATGAATTAATACAGGTTTTTGTGGAGTCTCTAGCCCATCAGGAGGTAGGTCAAAAATTAATTTCAAGATTTAAGCAAAAAAAAAAAAACATGGATGTTGTTGGCCCCTATTATACGAACATATGGTTAAAATTATCTTGGAATAAACGTGCCTTCGCCCACGTATCGCGGAAACTCTCAGTTTTTTTCAACTAAAACTTCCTGACGCACCACTGGATGGTTACTATGCTCAAGAAGACCAAGGAACCCTATCGGCGTTCCATCTTTAGGAGGGGTCCATTTAAAGCGCTGTATTAATGTTCGAGGATACCGGGTAGTTAGCTCTGATAAAGACGATTCTGGAGGATGATTAGCTTACAAATTAATCAACAAAATTCCAATGCACATCCGCTTGAGGGTCCTTGGCTGAAGTTCCAATACCGATAATTCTGGACTCAGGACAAAGAAATTCAGACTGATGGCGGCGAAAGGCATGGGTAAGGTTAGAGGCACCATGTTGCTCAAAAACGAAATCAAAGCTTTTATTTTGTCTTGTGGCAGTCAGCCTAGAAGTTAATCACTTTCTGATTTTAAGTTCACTGAGCTTTAAGCATTTTGTAATAGGGAAAATAGTCCTACAATTGATACTGCCCCCAGGGATCTTTCTTCTGTTCTGGAACTTTTAATTGTTTTTGGTCCAATGAGCACACCCTGCAGAAAGCCGACGACACAAATTCCGATGCCAACTGAAGAAGACTCAATTGTATCTGAGAGCTAGCTAGCTGAACTTGTCGAGGTTTTCACAAGTGCTTGCATAGGTACTCTTGAGATCTCATGCACCGTCAAGCCATTCTATTGGATAGCGGAGATCTACGTCCTCAGTTCGTCAAAGAGTCTACTCTTTAATAGATCTCGCAAGATTAAGATGCACACTGATTGGGAACTATATACAACAATAAAGAGAACGCTTGGAAAAAACCAGGACAAGTGCAACCGCACAGAATTTCGTGCCGAAAGTGAACCAGAGGCGTCCAATGGACCTACTAGAGCTCACACAGCCGAAACTCTCAATTCTGGTGAATATATTGATAAGTCCCTGTCGAGGGTATATACGCAGCTGCTTAAAGGACGTTGAGAGAAAGTCCTTGAACAGCTCAACTTTTGCCACCTGCGAAACATCGTGTGCAATTAGACGTCGAAAAGCTGCAATCACAATAGAGAGCCAACTGCATGGCTACTCGACTCTTGAGCAGAAACCGAAGTACTCCGATTTTAGTGACCCCGAATGAGAAACTACAATGTGGAATGCCACGCCGCTCAAACGAAAAAGGATGACACCTGCAGGACCACATTGTGATCGAGCATAACACGTGCTATCTGGGGACCATTATAGGGACCTGAAGAGTGAAGCGACACGTATTTTCCGAAATAAAAAGGAAGAGGCCGAAATACGATTGTGCGAGGGTTTTTAAAATACTGTCCGATATGGAAAACGTCCGAAAATTTATCCGAAAGGAGAATACTAAGATTGTGGAGAGAGCATTTCTCCACTTTGCTCAATGGTACTGAGATCAGTAGAGAAAATTGAACTAAATTCTCTGTCGAGGACGTCGTGATGTACTGTCACCCTTGAAATCTAATCCAACAATCAGTTGGCAATGGAGAAGTAAAGTCTTTTCTTGTCGTTCACAAACCATACTTTGTAAGCTTCTCATCCGGCACGTGGTGGTATACCGCATAGAAACCTAGACAATGACAGCATCTAATTAATCGCAGTTCGAAGCTCTCGGAGTAAACAGGTAACAGGCGCTGTCCATCCGTAGTATGCTTGCTTCTTTCCTCTGTTGTATGGAAGCGGATGCCCTACCGTTTTAAGTATCACGAAGGCAATGTGGGCTGTTTAGGATATCAGCCCCCCAAAGGATGCACACTTCCATGATCTATACAGGTTTGGAATGACAGAAACTCAAACAGAAACATGGAAAGTCTTATCTCCGATTCCATTGCAACTTTTAGCTTTTGACTGAGTGGTCAAAAAATCTCAATACCGAGCGTTCTGATTAGTCCCCAGTGTGTATCCATTACCTTCTTATAAGATCTGCTGTCTATATTTGAACGAACTTCAGTAATGTTGTGGCTGTTGGCGGTAGCTTATATAGTATAGACTAGGTTGAAGCTGTAAGATACCTTTTGTATATTTGCTTCATCAGATTAAATTTGAGTCTTATGTGCGAGACAAGTTGAAAAACAGATGAGCTCCTTCTTACCCCTCTTTCCCATAAAATCATGTCTGTATTGGTTCTCGGGAGCGTGGGGAGATTATGCACTTTACCAGCAAACAATAGGGTTCTCCTATTCTGGGTTAAGGGCCACAAGATAAAGAAGGAAAGCGGCAGCAATAACCCCAATAGGTCTTGAGCCCTTCCTTGCAATAGAACCAT